ATGAGTAATTAACTGTTGCAAATATCTTATGTATACAATTTTTGTATAAGTTGAAGGGAAAAGACATATCACATCATGCTTTAAAAGCAGCATGCAGATTGCTTTGCAAAGGTACATTTGTCATAATTAAAACCTGAGATTCATAGGTAAAGTCCAGCTAATTAAAGATATGTGTTAATAATTTTATACAAGAGAATGAAATAAAAGTGTTTATGGTCTTTTATATTTTGTTTGGTATGATTGGGTGCATTCGATGTATGATGCTATCTAAAGAAAAGAAAGTATTTTGATATTAAAGTTAATATGTGTTTGAGCACTGTGATAATAAATACGTAATAAAAGTAATTAATTACTTGAATACGCAATTGATTAGACGATACTGTCAAAAAAAGTATATAAGAACACGATTTACATTTTAATCCATCACTCCAAAATGAGCACGATTATTAAATCTCCTCATGCTTGCTTGATTAAATTATTCATGAGAAAGTGGTGTTATATCAGCCAGCACCTTGGTAGTGGTTTGTGGTATTATTAATTAATTAATTAAGCATTAGGTGAAGATTGTTTTAGTTATAATTTAAGATAACGATACTTTGACAATATTTTTTTTGACAATAATTTAACATCATTTATTGGTTTAAAATTATTTCATAATCAATAATAATAATTATAAACACTAAATGGATCAATCAGATGTTAAAATGTTGTAAAAAAAATATTGTGAAAGTATATTATTCTATGATTTGCACCGAAGAAGAAGTATGAGAGTGATTTGGCATTATGTTGGGAAGGAATCTTGTGGAGTTTAGGGAATATATAGTATTGCATATGATGTTTCTTATCTGATTCCTGAACTTAGTCATTGACCTATCAAAGTCCTTGAAGAGCACTGTCTGCATAAAATAAATATAACAGTCACAGTGTTATATATTAAACACGTCTTTTTCTGTGTGCTTCCTTAGGACGTGACGACGCAGATGGCAGAATGAGAAAAAAAAAGAGAGAAAGGACGACCAATCTGAAAAAATTAACACAATAGTATTTGTTTTAAATTATTCTTTTCTTATTATGTATAAATACATAGTTAAGTATTACAAGAAAACTTTTTTTTTTTTACATTATATCTCCTATTCTATTCACCTAATTAACCTGTTTATTTTAAAGTTTTAGCAAGTATTTCATATTCAATTATACGCTAAAATTATTTACATTTGAAATTAAATATTATTATTTAACTTTTACAAAATGATTTATTAACTAATTTTTTTTATTATTATGAAGTTAATGACATTTTTCGTATTTTATTTAGTTTTTGTAGCTTTATGGCAAAAATAGTTATTTTCATTTAGTCTTTGTGTAATTTTTTATTAGTATATTGTACTCTTTATTAGTAAATAAAAGAATTTCATTAGAATTTAGGATAAAGAAATAAAAGACTTCCAAACTTTTAAACTTTAATATTTGTTTTTCATAAATTTTTAATTTTATTTATCTTTTATTTTTTAAAATTAATAAATCATTTATTCGTCATAAGATAAAAAATTTATACTAATTAAATATGAAAATAACCTTAATTTTTTTNTATTTTTAATTTTATTTATCTTTTATTTTTTAAAATTAATAAATCATTTATTCGTCATAAGATAAAAAATTTATACTAATTAAATATGAAAATAACCTTAATTTTTTTTAAAAAAATAGATATAAATAATAAAGCTAGTTCTCACTCCACCATACTCCATTACCATCTCTAGATTGACCAGAAACCTTTTATTTTCAAATGTTAACAAGTCCATTCACCTCTCTTATCTACTGCTGTTTCATATTTCATCATTAAGTTCATTTATTTGGAAAAGTAACTTAATATTCAGATACAAAGTATATGCGTATTCGAACCCAAAATATAACACATATCAATCAAATTCCACCTCACAAACAGAGAACAAAACCAGAAGAAAAATCCATTAGTACAAAATTTGCAGTACTTATACCAATGAGAAACTAACCAATATCTTCCAAGAAAAAGCTATTAAACAGCGACACATTAATTATAATAATCAATCTTACACATCTTTTGTTTTTCTTTATGATGATCAACCAGCTGAATAGATACAATATTACATCACCAAAATCTCCAGAAGATATAATGTCCAATGTATGAGCACTTTGTTTCTACAGAAATAGCTCAGGCCACTAAATTTTCAACTGTGAGATACATTATATTAAGAGTATGAGTACCCTTACAACAGCTGAAGGATCATCACAACAGCTGTTTATTCATTATGATGCAACTTTTTAATGGTAATTCATTCCTCATTAATGCAGTGCCCTTCTGATTTTGCCAAGAGCTATCTTCTTGAAAACATCGCTGTCCTAAGTCAAAAGCAACACAAATAAAGAAAACACAGTCATTACACAGACGAGGAAACTGGGAGCTGTTTTCGACACTTTTCGACACTTCATTCTGCATGTCAGACCCTATAAAATCTTTTACTTCTTCCAATCATTTACCTACTTTTTATCTCATTTCATCTATCACTAATCACCTTCACTTACACATAATCACATCTTAATTATCAATTATTGACACATAAGTATATCTATATGCACACCAAGTTCCACACATCCCTGTTATTTTGTTAATACATGAACCAGTAGTTTTAACGTTATTTATGATTTCTTTTTATAACAATTATATGTAGAAATTTCATCCACTAAATAAATACCAATTTATAATACACAAGTGAATTCAAATTTTATCTTTTTATGAAATGAAATTAAATTTAAAGTTTATTTCTAGTAGCTGTAGAGTTAAAGTTCACTTCTTACAAAATTCATCTGGTAAAAATTATTGCAGTTATAATACATGTCTATTATATTATTAAGTAGAAAAAAATATTCATACATATTTTTTTTATAATATTTTGATATAATATACATATTCCTTTTTATTAATTTTGATATAATATACATATTCGTAAACCCGAAACAAATTGAATGCTAAGAAAAAAGAAGGCCCATTTGTTAGCCCAAGAGAGTGAGCCCAGTCAATATGAAGTTACGACAGCATGTTTAGAGGAACTGCAGCAGAAAGCTATGGCGGAAGAACCGAAACCCCCACAACCTTCCGATCCTCCATTACCGTTTGATCCTAGTCGGAGTATCTCTCTCTCTCTCTCTCTCTCTCTCTCTCTCTCTCTCTCTCTGTTACAGATTCTGATTTCTGTTTTCTTTTTTATGTCTTCTCGTGCATTGAAATTTTGAGTTTAGGGCTTCGATTTGAAACATCAGGCGTGCATTGATATTTGTGATTGTGGATATATCCTGTAATTGACATTGCAATTGGGAGTTGTGCACTTGATTGATTATAATTTTTTTTTAATTTTCAATTATCGTTGAAGTGGTCGGTATCATCAAGAGGAAGGCGTTAATCAAAGACCTAGCAGCGGTGTACCATGCCGAATGACTTGCTTACTGTCAAGAGCTTTTGGAACTTCAAACCAAATGGGAAGAGGTGAAATGCAAACTCGTTTTCGTCTATTTTCTATTATATTTCTATGATTAATTTTAGAGCCTCTTATATTGTTGGCATTTAAGTAGTATAAATAGATAATGCTTGGTACACAGTCCCTAGACTAGTCACATTACCTCACTTGAGTCGAATCTTTGTGAAGATACAGAAACCGAGTTGTGACTGTTAGTTTTGTGAAGAAACCGAGTTGTGACTGTTAGTTTTGTGAAGAAACAGAAACAGAAACCTAGACTAGTCACATAGCCCATTTGCAAAAGAGTTCACCTGACAACACGTAGAAGCTTTTGGATTTGGCTTATTGAATTCGAGGACTGTGCATTAGGAGAATAAGTGTCGTTTGAATTAACTTATCTTTAAACAAGAAAGTAAAATAAATTGAATTTCCCCCAGATTATAATTAACTTATGCGCTGAATATTTATTCAAGTTCCTGTCATCTTGTTTCTCGAGTACTTAAGGTGAATAAGTTTATTTTAACTTTTGGGAATGTATATGAATCTCCAAAACCTCTCGATTCTTTTAAGATTTTAACAGAATACATGCACGTTTTTAACAAAATATTGTTAAGACTACCTTAATATTCTAATAAATGATTTTTCTACACATTATCTCTTCTAAAGGGTTACCCTCCTTGAGATAAGCCAAGTACCAAGATTTTAAGCTACTTCATAATTTAATCCAATCGGGTTGGACGATTATTCAAATCATTGGAACTGATTCAACCTTGGAGACATGCTAACAGGACAAGATAGTTGATGGTCCTCCCTAACTCCCCCAAATAATTTGCACCACTACTTCTTAGTCAATCAATGGTGACATTTTTTTAATTTCTCAGGAATTCGTAGATGGCTGTGCAGATATCAGATTCTTTCAGTTCTATTTTTTGTATGATAATGAATACCCCAATGGATTGTCCTTCCTAGAGTATTAAAACGTGCACTTTTCCCCATTTCAAGTTTCAAATAGTTTTGCTCCAGCCTCCCCTTAAGGGTTTGTTTGAATTGAGGATTGGAGATAAGGGAGTCATTTCTTTTCATTGTCCACTAAATTTCCCTTAATCTAAACCATTCAACTTTACACTCTCTTTCTTTCCTTTTTCAATCCTCAATCCAAACAAACCTTAAAAGTTTGAAGTCATAATGATATAACTGTGTCTTTCGCAGTATTATAAATATAAATATATCCTTGCCTTCGAAGTACTAAAATATAAATATGAAGTGAGAGTAGGTTATATTAGTTTTTCAATTTAATTGATTATTCTTTACATGTGTCTCAATTGTTTCAGCCATTTATCGACTTAAAAACTCCAGAGGAATCAAAAAAGGAGACGGCACGATCCTCTAAACGTGCAAAAAAGTTGCGATAGGTATGATTCAGCATAATTTCATTGCCATTGTAAATTTCAATTGTCTATAGATGTAGATTCAGTGAGACCTTCATACTCTGATTTCCACCTAAATATCCTAGAATATTTTTTTCGCATGCAAGATCTTCACTGCACTTGCTATAATTAATTACCAATTGTCCCAGTTTTATTAGGTTTTTGAAAAACAAATGTTGAGTAAACCTTTTGACAGATTCCTTGTTTGTTTTGGATGCATGGGAAGGTGTCATCTGCATCATTTTATTATATTGGAAAGCTGCGTGGTTCGTTAGATTTTGTCCATTTCAGGCCTTCAGAAGAATACCTTATGTTCGCTGTTAGTGTTGATGTACTATCAGAGCACGTATTTGACGTAGTATTGATGTGCTTTTTCAATGCTATTGACTGAGACGTCAAGTGAGATTTCATCCATCAGTTTGCAGTTATAGAGCATTTCTCCACTGCTCGACGAAAAATAGATAAATGAGCAATATAATTTTTGTTTGGAATGATGTATAGAATATTCAGCCCTGCATTCAGATTTGGGGTTCAATCCATTGTCAATATATTTTAGCATGCTTTGCTATTCTATTTATTTTCCTGTTGCAAATTTTTAGCCTTGTGGTTCTTTTGGAAGCTTACATATGTTAATAGATTAGTTTTCTGAAAGAGATCAGCTACCGATAAATTTTATACATTTCAAGGCAAACTTGATGGAGAGAAAAGTGACAAGTGAGGTTATTATGTGGAGAATGTGTTAAGGGTCGAGTTCCCTGTGTTTAGAGAATGATACATTCAGTACCTATACAAAACTTTCAAATACAGCAATGAAAAGAACCACTCCATCGTAAACTAAATTCACTGTAAACTGTCTCCTGTAGGCTTCAAGAGACATTCCAGTGTCTAATCCTGCATATTCCACGACGATTTTCTGCAATTGAGTTGCGAATAGACTGCAACATAGCACGGACAGCAGGAACGTGACCCAATTCTTCATGCAGCTCCTGCAGAATAAGCTTACCATGAGAAATCCACCCTAAGGAAGACACCAGATACCTCACCAACTCCCTAAAGAAATAGGCCAAAACAAATAATACCACTTCTGCAATCCTTTCTTCTAAAGACCCCGCATTTGCATCAAAGGACATGAATATCTTTCTATAAGCTGTTCTCAGGTTTCTGATCTGAAACATTACCCAAAAAATTTGTTTAGTGGTGATGAAAATACAATTAAGGCCAACTAAATTTAAAAAGTGATAAACCTCTGCAGTGCTGAATCCACACCGTGTAAGGCCCACTAAATTAAGACCACGAAGCTCAGCTCTTTCTCCGGCTACCATCACGTACTTTGGGACATCTTGTGTAAGCTTCATTTAAGTAAGAACATGACATTGTAGTTGCATACTTCAGTAGTTCTAAATCAATTTGGCATGGTAAAAAGGTATTTGCTTAACAAGTTCTTCAATAAGGGTATATTGATTATTGTATACAACATACTGTTATTCAGACCGTTGGTAAATAAATGGGCCACACTGAGGGTACATTTACCACAGCCTTCGGTCACTAGATAACTAGATCCTGCTTAAACTTTCCGTTGACTGGCTTAGATTTTGTACAAATCTTGCATGATTGCGGAAAAATCATATCTCTTGTTAGAAAACAGATTAATTTAAGACTGAGATTAACAGAAAAACCTACCACAGAACCACCACCGAGAAAAGAGTACGAGCCAAGATGACAGAATTGGTGCACAGCAGTTCCACCTCCAGTGTGAACATAGTCCTACATGCGAAGAGTTTTAGTTGATTTTCTAAATTCTATGCTTAAAACACAACAAAATAACAAACATATTTTATAATGAAAAGGTGATTTAGGTTTTAAAACTTACTTCCACTTCGACATGTCCAGCTAGAAGAGTGTTGTTAGCAAAAATATTGTTGTCACCAATCTTGCAATCATGGGCAATATGACAGGAGCCCATTATAAGATTTCCATTACCAATAACCTGATCATATGATCACGGTGAGTATTATAAGGTACATTTTGTGTCCGAAAATTTCTGAGGTTTTTCTTTACTGTAAAAAATTAACGAAGCCGTCTTCTTACCGTCCTATAAGTTGATTTTGAAGATCGGTGGATTGAAGTATGTTCCCTGATATCATTATTGTCTCCAATTTCCAGGAAACATTCATCCTCTGGCTGCATGAAAGGCACATTAAAAGCTTACATTTTTTCCAAAATAAATTCAACCCTTAACATGAACACAAACAGTGAAAATAATGTCACAATATAACCAGTTAAATAATCAATCATGCACTTTGTCCAAATAGCTTAGCCCTTTTACTATGACTAGATCCTCAACATGGTATTGAAGAGCACACTAGTCTGATGTATCCATCCTTCAAACACAATGAACTTTCAAGTCGAGGATCGAGCAATGATTTAATTAATACCATTGCTATGCCTTTTTGAACAAGCTTAAGCTTAATTGTTGTGTCCAGAATAAAAACAAACTGTAATAATTGAATAAGACTGCTCATTCAAGTTGGAAGAAAAAATTAAGTCAATCTGCTTTGTTAGAATGCATCTCTGTGAAGCAAAATTTACAGTGAAACATTTGGAGTTTGAAACCAGTCAATTAAGAATTGGTTGAAAAACTAATAAATTGGAATGCAACTAAAGGAAGAGAAGAACAAAAGAAATTGAAAACAGAAAGTCAATTTAAAACTTCAAGCAAATTAAAAGAGATAAAAGTGCGTCCAAGGCATACAGGCTTTGTTTCTGAAAAAAAAAAAAAACAATCTTTCAATATTTCTGCAATACACATACATAATTAAAATATAGTCAAGTTGAGTTGATCGAAGACTTGTCAGGATTTTTACAGGTAGAAATACTTAAAGTCAAACACTTTTTATAGACTTTTCTTGAGCATTTTCAATTAACCTTAGCAAAATACCCCCCTATGAAAAAAATGTTAAAACTCATATCTATAACACAATAAACAATGACAATCATAATTCTGAAGTCATTAATCAGATTACATGGAATGACTGTGTATGTATAGAAACCTCCACCGGTTTATGTGGAGCATACCTTGTGTTTCATGTCTTGACATTTGACACCAATCACAGCATGATATCCTATTGAGTTATTGCTTCCAATGACGGTACATCCAGGATAATCATCACCAACAACAGCACCACTATCATATAATGGAACAAAAAAGTAGCATTCAGAAAAGCAAAACCTTATCTGAAACAGTGATCTTAGGTGTGAACACTGAACTCACGTCATCAACGTACAATTGTCCCCTAACTCTGTTCTTCCAGAAACATGGCTTCCAGGGTATAGTCGACAACCATTCCCCAGCTTTGCAGAGGAGCTAACAGAACAAAAGGGACCAATCGAAACACCCTAAGCACAATATTTGATTAGGAAGTGAAAATATGTTTGATTAACGGACAACATTATTATTAAAGTGATTTGAAGTACCCAATGGCGATTCAGTAGAAAAGGAGGAAACTTTGGTTGAAGCAATAAAAGGATAAGCAAAGACAGACAGCAATGGATTGAAAAGAGAGAAAGAGTAAAAAAGAAGTACTTGGCCTATGAGGGCATCGGGATGAACGGCGGCAGTAGGGTGGATAAAACTTGGTTTTGTGAGTGTGGAAGTGTGAACATGCTCCCTCTCTGCAACATCTGCAACTCACGGTGAAATCAGAAAGAGAGAGAGAGCGATTTGAATGAATTGAGTGAATAGGGAACATACGAGAGAAGAAGAAGATGAAGCGAGGGTGATGGAGCGCAGAAGAAAGGGAAAAGCGGCAGCGACTGCGAGCTTTCAGCAACCAACCCGCCATTGTTGCTTTGCTTTCAAACATCAGCACACTATTTCTCAATTGCCGAAAACACTGATTATAATTTGTTTCAAAAAACAAACATTATCAGTTATTCTTATACTAATTACTATTGTTTAAGAATTCTAGAACACAAATTAAACATATTAGTGATTCTAGATACTAATACTTTAAAACTGTCTGAAGAAGAAAATTTAAAGAAATTTTCAAAGCTTTAGATTTTTTTNTTACTCCCCCAAATAATTTGCACCACTACTTCTTAGTCAATCAATGGTGACATTTTTTTAATTTCTCAGGAATTCGTAGATGGCTGTGCAGATATCAGATTCTTTCAGTTCTATTTTTTGTATGATAATGAATACCCCAATGGATTGTCCTTCCTAGAGTATTAAAACGTGCACTTTTCCCCCTTTCAAGTTTCAAATAGTTTTGCTCCAGCCTCCCCTTAAGGGTTTGTTTGAATTGAGGATTGGAGATAAGGGAGTCATTTCTTTTCATTGTCCACTAAATTTCCCTTAATCTAAACCATTCAACTTTACACTCTCTTTCTTTCCTTTTTCAATCCTCAATCCAAACAAACCTTAAAAGTTTGAAGTCATAATGATATAACTGTGTCTTTCGCAGTATTATAAATATAAATATATCCTTGCCTTCGAAGTACTAAAATATAAATATGAAGTGAGAGTAGGTTATATTAGTTTTTCAATTTAATTGATTATTCTTTACATGTGTCTCAATTGTTTCAGCCATTTATCGACTTAAAAACTCCAGAGGAATCAAAAAAGGAGACGGCACGATCCTCTAAACGTGCAAAAAAGTTGCGATAGGTATGATTCAGCATAATTTCATTGCCATTGTAAATTTCAATTGTCTATAGATGTAGATTCAGTGAGACCTTCATACTCTGATTTCCACCTAAATATCCTAGAATATTTTTTTCGCATGCAAGATCTTCACTGCACTTGCTATAATTAATTACCAATTGTCCCAGTTTTATTAGGTTTTTGAAAAACAAATGTTGAGTAAACCTTTTGACAGATTCCTTGTTTGTTTTGGATGCATGGGAAGGTGTCATCTGCATCATTTTATTATATTGGAAAGCTGCGTGGTTCATTAGTTTTTGTCCATTTCAGGCCTTCAGAAGAATACCTTATGTTCGCTGTTAGTGTTGATGTACTATCAGAGCACGTATTTGACGTAGTATTGATGTGCTTTTTCAATGCTATTGACTGAGACGTCAAGTGAGATTTCATCCTTCAGTTTGCAGTTATAGAGCATTTCTCCACTGCTCGACGAAAAATAGATAAATGAGCAATATAATTTTTGTTTGGAATGATGTATAGAATATTCAGCCCTGCATTCAGATTTGGGGTTCAATCCATTGTCAATATATTTTAGCATGCTTTGCTATTCTATTTATTTTCCTGTTGCAAATTTTTAGCCTTGTGGTTCTTTTGGAAGCTTACATATGTTAATAGATTAGTTTTCTGAAAGAGATCAGCTACCGATAAATTTTATACATTTCAAGGCAAACTTGATGGAGAGAAAAGTGACAAGTGAGGTTATTATGTGGAGAATGTGTTAAGGGTCGAGTTCCCTGTGTTTAGAGAATGATACATTCAGTACCTATACAAAACTTTCAAATACAGCAATGAAAAGAACCACTCCATCGTAAACTAAATTCACTGTAAACTGTCTCCTGTAGGCTTCAAGAGACATTCCAGTGTCTAATCCTGCATATTCCACGACGATTTTCTGCAATTGAGTTGCGAATAGACTGCAACATAGCACGGACAGCAGGAACGTGACCCAATTCTTCATGCAGCTCCTGCAGAATAAGCTTACCATGAGAAATCCACCCTAAAAGGAAGACACCAGATACCTCACCAACTCCCTAAAGAAATAGGCAAAAACAAATAATACCACTTCTGCAATCCTTTCTTCTAAAGACCCCGCATTTGCATCGAAGGACATGAATATCTTTCTATAAGCTGTTCTCAGGTTTCTGATCTGAAACATTACCCAAAAAATTTGTTTAGTGGTGATGAAAATACAATTAAGGCCAACTAAATTTAAAAAGTGATAAACCTCTGCAGTGCTGAATCCACACCGTGTAAGGCCCACTAAATTAAGACCACGAAGCTCTGCTCTTTCTCCGGCTACCATCACGTACTTTGGGACATCTTGTGTAAGCTTCATTTATGTAAGAACATGACATTGTAGTTGCATACTTCAGTAGTTCTAAATCAATTTGGCATGGTAAAAAGGTATTTGCTTAACAAGTTCTTCAATAAGGGTATATTGATTATTGTATACAACATACTGTTATTCAGACCGTTGGTAAATAAATGGGCCACACTGAGGGTACATTTACCACAGCCTTCGGTCACTAGATAACTAGATCCTGCTTAAACTTTCCGTTGACTGGCTTAGATTTTGTACAAATCTTGCATGATTGCGGAAAAATCATATCTCTTGTTAGAAAACAGATTAATTTAAGACTGAGATTAACAGAAAAACCTACCACAGAACCACCACCGAGAAAAGAGTACGAGCCAAGATGACAGAATTGGTGCACAGCAGTTCCACCTCCAGTGTGAACATAGTCCTACATGCGAAGAGTTTTAGTTGATTTTCTAAATTCTATGCTTAAAACACAACAAAATAACAAACATATTTTAAAATGAAAAGGTGATTTAGGTTTTAAAACTTACTTCCACTTCGACATGTCCAGCCAGAAGAGTGTTGTTAGCAAAAATATTGTTGTCACCAATCTTGCAATCATGGGCAATATGACACGAGCCCATTATAAGATTTCCATTACCAATAACCTGATCATATGATCACGGTGAGTATTATAAGGTACATTTTGTGTCCGAAAATTTCTGAGGTTTTTCTTTACTGTAAAAAATTAACGAAGCCGTCTTCTTACCGTCCTATAAGTTGATTTTGAAGATCGGTGGATTGAAGTATGTTCCCTGATATCATTATTGTCTCCAATTTCCAGGAAACATTCATCCTCTGGCTGCATGAAAGGCACATTAAAAGCTTACATTTTTTCCAAAATAAATTCAACCCTTAACATGAACACAAACAGTGAAAATAATGTCACAAAATAACCAGTTAAATAATCAATCATGCACTTTGTCCAAATAGCTTAGCCCTTTTACTATGACTAGATCCTCAACATGGTATTGAAGAGCACACTAGTCTGATGTATCCATCCTTCAAACACAATGAACTTTCAAGTCGAGGATCGAGCAATGATTTAATTAATACCATTGCTATGCCTTTTTGAACAAGCTTAAGCTTAATTGTTGTGTCCAGAATAAAAACAAACTGTAATAATTGAATAAGACTGCTCATTAAAGTTGGAAGAAAAAATTAAGTCAATCTGCTTTGTTAGAATGCATCTCTGTGAAGCAAAATTTACAGTGAAACATTTGGAGTTTGAAACCAGTCAATTAAGAATTGGTTAAAAAACTAATAAATTGGAATGCAACTAAAGGAAAAGAAGAACAAAAGAAATTGAAAACAGAAAGTCAATTTAAAACTTCAAGCAAATTAAAAGAGATAAAAGTGCGTCCAAGGCATACAGGCTTTGTTTCTGAAAAAAAAAACAATCTTTCAATATTTCTGCAATACACATACATAATTAAAATACTTAAACAATGATCAAACACTTTTTATAGACTTGTCAGGATTTTTACAGGTAGAAATACTTAAAGTCAAACACTTTTTATAGACTTTTCTTGAGCATTTTCAATTAACCTTAGCAAAATACCCCCCTATGAAAAAAATGTTAAAACTCATATCTATAACACAATAAACAATGACAATCATAATTCTGAAGTCATTAATCAGATTACATGGAATGACTGTGTATGTATAGAAACCTCCACCGGTTTATGTGGAGCATACCTTGTGTTTCATGTCTTGACATTTGACACCAATCACAGCATGATATCCTATTGAGTTATTGCTTCCAATGACGGTACATCCAGGATAATCATCACCAACAACAGCACCACTATCATATAATGGAACAAAAAAGTAGCATTCAGAAAAGCAAAACCTTATCTGAAACAGTGATCTTAGGTGTGAACACTGAACTCACGTCATCAACGTACAATTGTCCCCTAACTCTGTTCTTCCAGAAACATGGCTTCCAGGGTATAGTCGACAACCATTCCCCAGCTTTGCAGAGGAGCTAACAGAACAAAAGGGACCAATCGAAACACCCTAAGCACAATATTTGATTAGGAAGTGAAAATATGTTTGATTAACGGACAACATTATTATTAAAGTGATTTGAAGTACCCAATGGCGATTCAGTAGAAAAGGAGGAAACTTTGGTTGAAGCAATAAAAGGATAAGCAAAGACAGACAGCAATGGATTGAAAAGAGAGAAAGAGTAAAAAAGAAGTACTTGGCCTATGAGGGCATCGGGATGAACGGCGGCAGTAGGGTGGATAAAACTTGGTTTTGTGAGTGTGGAAGTGTGAACATGCTCCCTCTCTGCAACATCTGCAACTCACGGTGAAATCAGAAAGAGAGAGAGAGCGATTTGAATGAATTGAGTGAATAGGGAACATACGAGAGAAGAAGAAGATGAAGCGAGGGTGATGGAGCGCAGAAGAAAGGGAAAAGCGGCAGCGACTGCGAGCTTTCAGCAACCAACCCGCCATTGTTGCTTTGCTTTCAAACATCAGCACACTATTTCTCAATTGCCGAAAACACTGATTATAATTTGTTTCAAAAAACAAACATTATCAGTTATTCTTATACTAATTACTATTGTTTAAGAATTCTAGAACACAAATTAAACATATTAGTGATTCTAGATACTAATACTTTAAAACTGTCTGAAGAAGAAAATTTAAAGAAATTTTCAAAGCTTTAGATTTTTTTNATTGTATACAACATACTGTTATTCAGACCGTTGGTAAATAAATGGGCCACACTGAGGGTACATTTACCACAGCCTTCGGTCACTAGATAACTAGATCCTGCTTAAACTTTCCGTTGACTGGCTTAGATTTTGTACAAATCTTGCATGATTGCGGAAAAATCATATCTCTTGTTAGAAAACAGATTAATTTAAGACTGAGATTAACAGAAAAACCTACCACAGAACCACCACCGAGAAAAGAGTACGAGCCAAGATGACAGAATTGGTGCACAGCAGTTCCACCTCCAGTGTGAACATAGTCCTACATGCGAAGAGTTTTAGTTGATTTTCTAAATTCTATGCTTAAAACACAACAAAATAACAAACATATTTTATAATGAAAAGGTGATTTAGGTTTTAAAACTTACTTCCACTTCGACATGTCCAGCTAGAAGAGTGTTGTTAGCAAAAATATTGTTGTCACCAATCTTGCAATCATGGGCAATATGACAGGAGCCCATTATAAGATTTCCATTACCAATAACCTGATCATATGATCACGGTGAGTATTATAAGGTACATTTTGTGTCCGAAAATTTCTGAGGTTTTTCTTTACTGTAAAAAATTAACGAAGCCGTCTTCTTACCGTCCTATAAGTTGATTTTGAAGATCGGTGGATTGAAGTATGTTCCCTGATATCATTATTGTCTCCAATTTCCAGGAAACATTCATCCTCTGGCTGCATGAAAGGCACATTAAAAGCTTACATTTTTTCCAAAATAAATTCAACCCTTAACATGAACACAAACAGTGAAAATAATGTCACAATATAACCAGTTAAATAATCAATCATGCACTTTGTCCAAATAGCTTAGCCCTTTTACTATGACTAGATCCTCAACATGGTATTGAAGAGCACACTAGTCTGATGTATCCATCCTTCAAACACAATGAACTTTCAAGTCGAGGATCGAGCAATGATTTAATTAATACCATTGCTATGCCTTTTTGAACAAGCTTAAGCTTAATTGTTGTGTCCAGAATAAAAACAAACTGTAATAATTGAATAAGACTGCTCATTGAAGTTGGAAGAAAAAATTAAGTCAATCTGCTTTGTTAGAATGCATCTCTGTGAAGCACAATTTACAGTGAAACATTTGGAGTTTGAAACCAGTCAATTAAGAATTGGTTAAAAAACTAATAAATTGGAATGCAACTAAAGGAAAAGAAGAACAAAAGAAATTGAAAACAGAAAGTCAATTTAAAACTTCAAGCAAATTAAAAGAGATAAAAGTGCGTCCAAGGCATACAGGCTTTGTTTCTGAAAAAAAAAACAATCTTTCAATATTTCTGCAATACACATACATAATTAAAATACTTAAACAATGATCAAACACTTTTTATAGACTTGTCAGGATTTTTACAGGTAGAAATACTTAAAGTCAAACACTTTTTATAGACTTTTCTTGAGCATTTTCAATTAACCTTAGCAAAATACCCCCCTATGAAAAAAATGTTAAAACTCATATCTATAACACAATAAACAATGACAATCATAATTCTGAAGTCATTAATCAGATTACATGGAATGACTGTGTATGTATAGAAACCTCCACCGGTTTATGTGGAGCATACCTTGTGTTTCATGTCTTGACATTTGACACCAATCACAGCATGATATCCTATTGAGTTATTGCTTCCAATGACGGTACATCCAGGATAATCATCACCAACAACAGCACCACTATCATATAATGGAACAAAAAAGTAGCATTCAGAAAAGCAAAACCTTATCTGAAACAGTGATCTTAGGTGTGAACACTGAACTCACGTCATCAACGTACAATTGTCCCCTAACTCTGTTCTTCCAGAAACATGGCTTCCAGGGTATAGTCGACAACCATTCCCCAGCTTTGCAGAGGAGCTAACAGAACAAAAGGGACCAATCGAAACACCCTAAGCACAATATTTGATTAGGAAGTGAAAATATGTTTGATTAACGGACAACATTATTATTAAAGTGATTTGAAGTACCCAATGGCGATTCAGTAGAAAAGGAGGAAACTTTGGTTGAAGCAATAAAAGGATAAGCAAAGACAGACAGCAATGGATTGAAAAGAGAGAAAGAGTAAAAACGAAGTACTTGGCCTATGAGGGCATCGGGATGAACGGCGGCAGTAGGGTGGATAAAACTTGGTTTTGTGAGTGTGGAAGTGTGAACATGCTCCCTCTCTGCAACATCTGCAACTCACGGTGAAATCAGAAAGAGAGAGAGAGCGATTTGAATGAATTGAGTGAATAGGGAACATACGAGAGAAGAAGAAGATGAAGCGAGGGTGATGGAGCGCAGAAGAAAGGGAAAAGCGGCAGCGACTGCGAGCTTTCAGCAACCAACCCGCCATTGTTGCTTTGCTTTCAAACATCAGCACACTATTTCTCAATTGCCGAAAACACTGATTATAATTTGTTTCAAAAAACAAACATTATCAGTTATTCTTATACTAATTACTATTGTTTAAGAATTCTAGAACACAAATTAAACATATTAGTGATTCTAGATACTAATACTTTAAAACTGTCTGAAGAAGAAAATTTAAAGAAATTTTCAAAGCGTTAGATTTTTTTCCAATTTGAATTTCTTAAAACTAAAACTTTAATATACATTATAAACGTAAAAATAAAGTTTTATTCTATCATAAATTTAAATGTTTTAAATTAAGTTTTCATTAAAAAAATTAACTATATTTAGTATTCAAAAAATATATATTTTTTTAATTAAATTTTGATTATTTAATTTTGCCGTCAATTAAAATTATGGAATAGTTATATTGTATTATTTTGTATTGTCATTAGTTATATGTTTTTACATTAAAAAAACAAATAATTTACAATCTCTTATAAATTTGGATTTTTCAATTTAATTCTTATTAAAAAATTGTTTTATTACATATTCATAAATGTATCATTTTATTTTGCAATTTTTACAATAAAAAAAAGCTCTTCAACCTTAATTATTTTTACGAAACGATATTATCTTATGACTCCACATGGTTAATTTGAATTTTATGTTAGTACTTATTTAAAAACAATGAAACAATTTTTTTTATATAAAAATAATCAAGGTTACAAAGATTATTTATACTATTGTTATGTTAATTCACTTAACAATAAAATTAAACGAGAAATACTCAATTAAAAAATATACAATTTTAAGATAGTTAATAAAAAATGTATATTAAATATTTAATTAAAAACATAATTTATGAAAAATTTAAAACTCAAGTCATTTATTTATTATTTATTATTTATTATTTATTTTACATTTTTCATGTAGAAACAAACAAATGAATTTAAAATATCACTCTAATATGCATAATTTTTTTAAAATAAAAGCTTAATTTTAAAAAGTTAAATTTATGGGAAATTTAAAAGTTAAATTATTTCTTTAAATCAAACGGTATTTAAGAGTGGAAAGTGTAAATATGAGTGTAGATTTCACGAAACATGCATTTTTATATTTGAGATAAAAAAAACTAAAAAAAACTATTTAATTCATTGGCAAACAACTAAAAGCACTAAGAAGAATATGAATTGTTTATAAAATACAATAAAAGTAAAAAATAAAGTTCGTTGATTATTAAGAACAATATGAATGACTTCATCAAAATCTATGTTTCGACTTCATCACGATACACACAGCTTCACCTTAAACTTCCTCAATTCTTCTTCATTCTTTTCAACTTTGCAAAACATAACCTTCTAAAATCTGGAGTACCTGTACGAGAAATATACTTCAAAACAACTATATCATTATAATTCAAGAAAAATAAATGTGGCTAACAAGAATCACAATTAATTTATTTTTTAAAGGAAATCACAATTAATTAAGCACTTTCAATTACAAAACATTATTCATAGTAACACATCAATGCAATAAAATATAAATTAAAAAAAAAACTTAATTTTGCAACCTGAGACATGGGTGGCCTTAAACGAGGATGGTGTTGGATGCAGAGAGTGGAACATTGCAGCATGCGATGAAGTTCCTCATCAATGATGCAGTTTCTTATGTTTGGGTCTACAACTTCATCAATGTCACCTCGCTCAACCAAACCCTATTCAAATATTTGAACTCACTAAGATTGTTTCACATATTTTCAATATTGATAACTTAGGTCCAAGTTCAATAACAAGTCAAGAACCCATCATGAAATGACCAACCAACAAGATGATTTGGACCCAAGTCCATCTTGAAATCAAGGCTCAATTATTAGAGAAATGATTAGGAGACTTGAAAAGGATCTCAAAGACAATCTCAAGCAAGAAGCATTGAAGAAATACTTTATTTTGAGCAAAGTATAGATTGCTTTCAGGATTGGGTTGTGTAGCCGAAACCCCTTCTCGCCAGCATGCTTCACACATGTACATGTGGTCTTTGATTCACTAAATACGATTGATCATCAGCCTAGCATAGGGCACCGAATTTGATTGTTGAATCTGCTATAAATCAGCATCTTTGCCCCTTGTATCATTATTTTTAGAATTTACAGAGTTATGTTGTTGCTACTTTGCCAGCCTTGCTATGCATCGAAAGTCGTTCTCCTTGCTTCTTCCCTCACCCCTCTAGCTTCCTTTCATAGACGGTAGGCTGCCTTAGCTAGTGTCACCTCCACCGAAGCACCTCACTCACCATATAATCCATTAACCTTCACTTAAACCGCTGCCAGTCTATCTACTTTGATATCCTCTTGTTGCTCAGTGCTTCATGGCTTTCAAATGTGCTAGATCAAGCCATCATTATAGGTTTATGGATTTACGAGTTTAGGGGTTTAAGGTTTGAGGTTTTGGATTTGGGGTTTGGGATTTGAGATTAGAGGGTTGAGGTTGGCGTATGGATTAGTGTCTAGGGTTTAGGGTTCATGGTTTCGAGTTCAGGGTTTAAGAGTTTAATGTTTTAGCGATTTAGGGTTTCGGAATTAGGTTTTAGGAATTTTAGTGTTTAAGGTGTGAGGTTTTTTAGGGGTTTTGGTTTAGGATTTTATGGGTTTAGGGTTTAAGGTTTGAGATTTTGGTGTTTGGGATTTGGGGTTTGAGATTTGGGGTTTAAGATTTATGGTTTGGGGTTAGGGTTTAGGGTTCGTGTTGTAGCGGTTTAGGGTTTTTATGAGTTTAGTTTAAGGTATATAGTTTAAGGTTTGAGGTTTTTGGGTATGGGGTTTGGGGATTGGGGTTTGGGATTTGGGTTTGGGGTTTTGGGGTTTGGGTTTGGGTTTTGTTTTTTGGGGTTTTGTTTTTGTGGTGTGGGATTTATAGGATTTAAGGGTTAAAGGTTTTAGTATTCAGGGTTTATGGTTTTAGGGGTTTATGGATTTAGAGGTTTACTAGTTTAAGGTTTGAGGTTTGGAGTTTTAAGTTTTGGGTTTGAGCTTTGGGGTTTGAGGTTTGGGGTTAAGGTTTAAGATTTAGGGTTTAGAGTTTTGTGTTTTGTGGTTTGAGATTTGGGATTTAGGGTTTAAAATTTTTGGTTTAGGATTTATGGTTAAAGTGTTAAAGATTTTAGGCTTTAGGATTTGTGGTTTTAGATGTTTAGCGGTCTAGAGATTCAGGGTATTATGGGTTTAAAGGTTTAGAAAACCCCAAATCCCCAAACTCAAACCCCAAATCTCAAACTTGAAAGCCTAAACTCTATACCAAAAAACCACAAACCTCAAATCATATACCCTAAACCAAAACCCATAAAACCCTAAATCTCTAAAACTTAAACCCTAAATCCCAAACTCAAAACCCTAAACTCCAAACACCAAAACCCCAAATCTCAAACTCCAAACCCTAAACCCATAAAATCCTAAACCAAAACCCCTAAAAAACCCTACACCCTAAACACTAAAATCCTTAAAACCTAAACCTCAAACCCTAAATCGCTAAAACGTTAAACCCATAAACTTTTAATCCCTAGACATTAATTCATACCCCCAACCTCAACCCTCCAACCCCAAATTACAAACCCTAAACTCTAAATCCCATACCAAAAACCACAAACCTCAAATCATATACCCTAAACCAAAACCCATAAAACCCTAAATCTATAAAACCTAAACCCTAAATTCCAAGCCCAAAACCCTAATTTCTCAAATCCTAAACTCCAAACACTAAAACCCCAAACATCAAACTTCAAACCCTGACCCATAAAATCCTAAACCAAAACTCCTAAAACACCATACACCCTAAATACTAAAATCCTTAAAACATAAACCTCAAACCCTAAATCGCTGAAATGTTAAACTCATAAACTCTTAAACCCTAAACTTTGAACGTGAAACCCTGAACCCTAGACATTAATTCATACCCCCAACCTCAATCCTTCAACCCTAAATTCTAAACCCTAAACCATAAATCTCTAAACTTGTAAATCCCTAAACCCATAATGATGGCTTGATCCAGGTTGAAGCCATGAAGCAATGAGAAACGAAGAGGATATCATAGTAGGTTCAAGTGAAGGTTAATGAATTATATGGTGAGTGAGATGCTTCGGTGGAGGTGACACTAGCTCATATAGCTTACCATCTATGGAAGAAAGCTAGAAGGGTGAGGGAAGAAGCAAGGAGAATGACTTTCGGTGCAGAGCAGGGCTGACAAAGATGCAACAACATAACTCTGTAAATTCCAAAAGTAATGATAAAAGGGAGAAAGGTGTTGATTTATAGCAGATTCAGCAATAATAGGCTCTTGACTTGCTATTGTTCTTGGCCCAAGTCATCAAATATGATGAACTGTAAAAAGCTTACCCATTCATGGAGGCATTGGTGGCTTCTATCCAAAGCTTTGCGTCCAGTAAGAAGCTCCAGTAATAGCACCCCGAACGAGTACACATCGGCTTTTTCAGTGATGTCACCACTTTCAGTATATTCTGGAGCCAAATACCTATGCATTTTCATATTAAAGTTTAGACATACCAATGGCTCAAAGTCATGAGTAAGGAAGATATTGCAGGGTCTAATGTCGCCGTGCACAATACAACCCACTCTACACTCTTCATGAAGGTATCTCAACCCACGAGCTACTCCCAGAGCAATTTTCTTGCGTGCAGACCAATTCAGTACATTTTCATTCTTTTCTGCAATCAACATATTGTTAAGATTTAAATATGCATATTCTTATTAACTACACCAACATAATTGCACCTTCTAAGGCATACAAAATATGCCAAAAAGCTTTGCAAACCAGAAAAACTTAATCTGTGCAAGTTTTGTAATGCAAAAAGTTCTTTTTTAACTTTTATGTAAATAAAGACTGAAACTTGCCATTTTCTATATACAAATTGAATGGTTTGAAATTCAAAATATTTACCATGAAGATGAGAATATAGAGATCCATTGCAGATATATTCATAAACCAGAATTTTTCTTCCATACTCCAAGCAAAACCCAATTAGCATCACAACATTACGATGTTGTGTGCAGCTTAAGACCTGAACCTGTGCAGAAAATTCTTCATCATCTTGAGTAGCAGCTAATTTACACTGCTTGATAGCAACAACCTGCCCATCAGATAGGACTCCACGGTGTACAGATCCAACCTCATTTTCTGCCAAAAGATTTTCCTGTGAAAATCCAGCAGTGGCAAGTTTCAGTTCAGCAAATGTAAACCATCTTGGAGGATTCCCAAACAAAGGTGCCTTATGCTGACAAATAGAGCACAATGGGAGTGACGCAGTAGTGCCATTTCTGCCTAGTGAAATTGCTTCTCTGACACTTCTGCTTATGTTCACATCAATTTTACAATTAAGCACTCCTAACACAGGATCGTGATCCAATTTATGAACCAGAGCCTCGTTAATGTTAATGTTTTTCGAAAACTCTTCATCACCACAAATTGCATTTGAAATCCATGGCTGGAAATATGACCCGCAGGATGACAAACTCATAATAATTTCACTCTCTGAATTGGATACACCTTCCTCCACATTTTTCACCTCGTTCTGAGAAAAGGGTAAATCTTTTCTTCGTCCTCCATCATTACCATATTGATAAAATGGTGAAGTCCAAGTCCAAGGTGTTGATGGTGTTCCAATGATACTAGCAGTCTTTGATCCTTGTTTAAGACTACTTCCAGGAGTAACAATTGGACACTTAATTGTATTTGCATGTTCAGATTTGCCTTTGAAGTTTCTTGGAAATGCATTGTGCTCCATATTTGTTGAAAGGATCAAATTCAATCGCAGAACGTTTGGCCCAGATCGCTCCATGATTACAACACTGCAATTCAGCTCCTCCATGCAGTATTTCTTTTCATTTTTCAATTTTCTGTAAACATTTGTGCGTAAAATTGTTTACCAATCATCAATTCACACACGTAAAATAGAACTGAATTGGCGTTACATGCACAAAGAACAAATTCTCTAGCATGTTCATTGCATTATTTCTTACCTGTCCAATATCACCCAGCTTGATTTGGCTCTCTTGGCTTCAGCAGCCACTGCTCCACAAAAAGAACCAGAAAGAATTTTGATTCTGATCTTTATCTATTTAAGTTTTGACACATGAGAGAAGCAGAATGTTACACATAAAGCAAAAGTGAAACACTGAAATTGAAAGGTTATGATTTAACCTTCTCTGGATCATAAAACTGATGAAGTTGAAGCACCATTTGGGAGCATGAATTCACAAAAACTTCTTTTTGATCTGAGACAGTTCCTAAACGGGATCTCCACTGAGCAGTGATACAATCAGTAGCAAAAGCAAGCCCAGAGAGACCCAATGACCTGATGTCTGAAGTGAAGACAAAACACAGTTAATAACATCGCTGTCATGTCTTAGGATAATGTCAGCATGTTTGAATATGGAATCATTTTTAAGAATCTCTTAGCCAAATAATAACAAAAGTGACATGAACGAGAAATACTTGAACAGAAAGGCGGAATGACAGCCAGCAGCTTAATACAATCTCCTGGTTGAACAACATTAGTCAAAGCCCACATCAAACCACTCCTTGAAACTTCTTTCGTTGCTTCAACTGCAACCACCACCACTTTCCCTGTCACTTTTCTGTAACAATCCTTTTGCTTCATTTCAACTATTACCAATCACTAATCAGAGTCAAATTCTTGATAAACAAAAAAATCATATAATTGAAGGAGTGTTTTAGAGAAGAGAAGCTTCAAAAATCGGAGAGAGAACAAAATATAAGCTAAAAACAAGTTCTGACAATGTCTCTAGAACTGAATGGACTGAAGAGATTGATTAGAAGTGAATTTAAGAAATATAGAATGGCCAAAGGCATGGACAATAGATTATGGTGTTGCCATTTTGTTTGATTTGGCAGATGCAATGAGCCAACAGAAGATATTTCCTTAGTGTCTACAAGACTTATTGATTATATAATTGAAGGACTGATATCATAATGTATATGTTCCTATATTTAACTGTTTGTGTGGCCGAATTGGAACAGAGAAGGAACTATTTTCGGTCCAATTGAATTTATTTGACCTATTATTGCTACATACCTAATCTTTTCTTCCAATTGAATCATTCATTTTTCTAAACCAACCTCAATTATGCTAAACCATATTGCTTACAAGATTAATAAAATAACTTAATTGTAAAATAACTTATTAAAATGTTTTTTTTCAACAATTCCATTTTGTTGAAATATATAAATTTTTTTAAGTTATCAAGCCTATATTTGTTGATAATCACCTCAAATTGATTTTTAATTACTATCATAAATTTCGTAACAATGACAATTGAACAAACTTCATATTTGTTAGTGAATTAATTAGTGAAAAACTATCATAATAATTGTTTATTTATGTGAGACGAAACTAAAAAAAAAATGTTTCATTAAAAGTTAAGAATGTTGCTCATCAACTTTATATATGAAAAGAGTGTTCATTAAATGTTATTCTCTTCAAACATTATTCTCCTTCCTTCTTTTATACGAAAAGGTCGGTTAGATTATGAGTTTTGTTTTGAGAACTAAAATTTTTGAATAAAGTGAAAGGTTAAAATTGCTAGTATAATATCAATGATTTTATCTCATTTATTCCCAATATTTACTTTAAAAACATGATTTATTGTTATTAATTAGTCAAAAAAGAGCAAATAGTCACTTACTAATAAAAGAATAGTTATTTACCATTAGATTGAGAGCATTTATATGCGTTAAATAAAATCCAATGATTCTCATAAACTAAAATTTATATCATCTTTCTTAGTAATTAAAACCTTTTCATGTTCCTCAAAATTGTAAATTTCTCTATTCATTAAACCCAAAAACAAGTTCAAGTCAAAAAGTCCGTTATGCCCACCATTACTAACAAACATGTATGGCTTTATTCTTTTAAATAAAAGTTAATATTTTCATTACATATATAAATGAACTTATATGTATGCAAATACAAAATTTTGAAAATAATAAATTAAATTTCTCATAATGGCACAAATTTAAATTTGTACAAGTAAAAAAGTGTATTTAATAAATCCTACTAATTATTTATAATACTTTACATAGCCCAACGGTAAAAAAAATTATTGGTCAAAATTTATTTTAAATTATTTAATATTATTATCATGAAAACCATCAAACTGGCACACGGTAATGAAAGCATATAATGTATACATTAATAGAGTGAATTACTTTGGTAATGATTTAATGACAAACTTGCATATAGAATAAATTTTATAATAATTATATTAATTAAATGTTATATTAACTTTCATTTCTTATTGGTTCATGTTAAACTCAAAAATAATATTTTATTAAGGTATATTAAAAATAATAAATAATGATCACATCATTGCTGTTTGAAAGATGGAACGGGCAAGCAATACGATATAAGAGGGCACTTTTGGTCAATAAAATAGTAAAAAGAAACATAGTATTTGGAAGCTTTAAATGGAAGAAGCAAAAAAGCAGCTTCATCAACGGCCATAACTCATCCATCCACGGCGTTTGACGGCGCTATTTGGTGATGATGGCGTTGGTCAACTCAAGATTGAAGAGGGAACAATGCAACCGCACAAAACACGATTCCAGCTTCTCCCATTGGAAGGTTTTAATTTGTTCTTTGTTCGGTTTATTATGTCTTGTGTTTATGCTTCTTAATTATGTGAATCTGCGTTTGTTTCTCTTTCGTGTTAACAAAATCCACTATTTCCGAGGGGGCACTGCTGAAAGTTTGTTGCTTTACCCTCAAACTAAAAGTAGAGGAGACGGTTAATTACTGTTTGATTTGACGAGGATGTTATGGACATGGAATGTTCATGTTACGAGCTGCTTTTGCTTTTGCTTTTGCTTTGGTTTCAGATACTGATTGGCCCTTCTGATTGGGAAGATCATTCCAAAGGAAAGGAAGGTTGTGTAAAATACAGGATTCATAACCTCCCTCGGGAATCGAATCCAGGGGTGTATGAGCTTGGAATTGCTGTGTCCAATGGTGGTTTGGGGCGTGAAATTTCAAAGCTTACCCCTCATTCTCACCGCATAGTGGTGGTTTACCTTGGAGAAGCTGACAATGTGAGAACAAGACTCCAGCGTTATGGCAGAACAGGTGATCATCTGCACAGTGGCTGTTCGAATGGTTCTTCTTCCCAAAAGGGGCGCCCCTTGTTTGAGGATGTGTTTTCACAAGGATTCTCAATCATTTATAGATGGGCTCCTGTAAGTACATATCTCACTTTTCATGTGATTTTCTTATGTCTGGGCTTAGTATCTGATGAAGTGATGAACATTCTTATTGGGGAAATACTGTTAACAAAAGTATATACTTTGACGTGGATTGTTGCGTTTTTTGTGAAATTTTGCGCTCAAGATTGAAGAAATGTGTATTTGCATTTTGCATAATAAGAAATGCAAAGTTTTCATGAGCAAACCATGTTTTTTGTTGAGCAGATGCAAAACAAGGAAGATGCTCTGCGAACAGAAGCTCGGCTGCTCAGTATATTTGATTATGCGTGGAACACAAGCAGTAATGGTATCCGGAGGCCTGAAGAAATTCTTCAAAAGCTTCAAAAAATTGCTTCAGGCACTAGAACACTTTCAGATGTGACCAAAGTGCTACTACCATTCACTCAGAAGCAAGTGGGCATCCGAATTAAACCAAGCAAGCTACCTCAGGAAGATGACAAGTTAGATGAAGCAGACAATGGCAGCTATAATTTCCTATCTCGAGTATTCAGTTTTAACAGATCACGTCCTAGGATAGTTCAAAGTACCACTGGTGTCGTTCAGGAGCAGGAGAATGCTAAAATTTGTGGAGTGGCATTGGGTGATGGTTTGTTTTGTAGAAGGCCACCAGCTGAGAAAAGATTGAGGTGTCCCGAACACAAAGGAATGAGAGCTAATGTTTCCATTGCCGAAGCAACCAGGGTACCCAAGTCAGAGAGCAATGTTTCACAAAAAGTGGTTGGGAGTCCTGGTGATGAAAGCCTGACAGACACAAATGTATGTGGAATCATCATAAATGATGGCTCTGCCTGTACAAGACAACCAGTTAAAGGAAGAAAAAGATGCCATGAGCACAAAGGAAGAAGAATTCATGCATCCTTTCATGTAAATCAGAAATAACCAGCACTGCCTGTACAAGTTCCATGCTTAAACTCCAAAATGAGTTAGTTGAAGTTTAGACAGAGAATATTGCTGCACAGCTGAATGTATTCAAAAGGCAAACCATCAATTGTAGGTAATAAAAATATTCTTGCAGCAGAAACTGCATTGATCAGATGCTGGAAGGGTGAAATATGTTTGTATTAGGGAAATTTCACTTACAATTCTCTGAAGGCAAGGAAGTATGTAATAGTAGTTGTTTCCCATTGTTGTTGTATTGTAGGATTAATGATTGTTTATTATGGTCAGAAATGTGCTCAACAATACTTATTGCGACTCTAATTGGACAAGTTGTCAACAATACTTTAACAACACTTTTTTACAACATTTTCACACCATTTATTTGTAATTCTGTGATCGTCCATGTTGATGTTTATGATTATTATTATTAACTTTGGAATAAGTTTGTACCAATACACATACATAATATTAAAATATTATAAAATAAATGTAATTATTATAAAATAAATGTTGTGAAAGTATCATTATCCTTACTCCCTACTAATTATTGTATTACATTCGAACAATCTCGTATCTCGTGAAAATCTAAAGAGCAACGCATGATTTCTTCTTCTTCTAAAAAGGTGAATTTCAATACATGATAATTGCTACTTTTGAACTCTTCTGAATTATTGGATCTTGGTGTTTCTTACTCCAAAACCATTGAAGTGTATTGTGATTAACAATTTTTCATTCATATTACCTCAAATCTATTTTTTCATGAGCATACAAAATACATTTATTAGTAGATCGTTATTTTTAACGCAAACATGTCATAGTCAAAACTATATGCAAATATCCCAATTAAAATACTTGACAAATAACATCCAAGTTGAGTATCTCCTCCCTCCATGCCACGCCTTGAAGGAAAGTACTAAGATAAGATTAATTGATCATAAATAATAAAAATATATTTTTTATTATTAAGTATATCTGACACACATGATATTTTAATTTCAGGGGTTTTATTTCATGTATTTTAGTATTTTTTTTTTAAGAGATATTTATTTAATATAATAAAATAAATATGAAATAGGTGAAGACTCTCTTCCAAAACCCTCAGAATACGTTTCTCCTTGCAAAACTCACCAACGGCAGCTCGGCAGCTCCCCCCCGCGTCCCGCCGCCATCACTGTCATTCCCTTCTCGCTGCATCTGTTGGACGGTGCTCCCAGTTCCGTATTTCAGATCACCATCCTCCCCTTTTTCCGCCGCCGCCGTTCGCCGACCCAACAGTGATTTGCACGAGTCACCAGTTTTGAGGAAGAACTATTCTAAGGTAAGGAAGCTACTAAGAATTTAGAATACTACTGTTTCCTTGAACGAGTCAAGTGTTTATATTATGTTTGAGTCAAGAGGGTTGAGTCGCGAGGATTGTGTTGTGATGAATGAGCCGTGAGGGCTCTATTATATAGACACTTGATTCTTATTGTTGATTGTTGATTTAGAGTTGATAATAAATACTGTTTGCAAAGTCAATTTTTTATTATTGAATCAAATTTTTGATAGAGATGGAGAGAGTGTGATAAAAGGGTAGGAGATTAAATATGTATGGTTGAACTATTTGGTTTCTGGGCTGATGATAATATTGTTTTATGTAGTATTGTTAAATTTTCATTAGCTTACCATGCTTTTGTGGTTGTGTGATTTTCACCTCTGCGATGATTGTATGTTACTAGCAAAAGATTATGCAGGTGGTTGAACGGAACACTATTTGAGGTTGTAAGTTTTTTTAGAAATCTTAGACTAGAAGACATATATGTATATATTATTATATATTATTATATAGTAAGTGAATAATATAGAAGGCTTTATGAGAACAATTTTTTAAATATTTTTTTCTGCTATTTTTCTATATCTAAGTTCGGCTGCATGATTCACAATGTTAGATTGCTTGATCAGATATTCCAGTCTCTAATCAGTTTTACAGCTATATATTTCTGGTTTAATGATGAAATCTTATATGCTACCTAAACACTCAGTCTTCACTATCTCGCAGACTAGCACTTTCTGTTCCATTCCTAAACACATGGATACTGATGCCATTGGAGATCTGGTTGACAAGCTCAAGGCTATGCAGAATGACAATGTAGAAGATCAAGATGAATATGATGATGTTGATGACGATGATGAAGAAGAAGAACATGAACCCATCACACTTGGCTTTGTTGACAAGCCAAAGAATAAATGGTCTCTTCAACGTCAATATTTCCCAAGCAAAGCTGGAGGAGTCCCTGTACTTTACCTTTTCATTGAATTCATTTACAATTTACATCTATCTTGCTTTATTGGGTGAACAAAGAAAGTGCCAGTTTATGACAGGTGATGTGAATAACAGGCTTGGCTTGACCCTTTGAATATACCATCAAGGGGATCATTTGTGTGTGACATTTGTGGAGAACCTTTACAATTCTTACTTCAGGTATGAAGTTCATGCCTCACGATTATTTGACATATGTATGCTTTGTGCTATACCTGTGCATTGTGACATATTGTATTAAACCCTTGAATTTTTAGGTTTATGCACCAACTGAGCAGGAAACTGCATTTCACCGAATGTTGTATGTTTTTATGTGTCCCTCTATGAAATGCCTCCTCAGGGATCAACATGAGCAATGGAAGCACCATCCAGAGAAGCCATCTAGAAGGTCAGGAGTCATCTTCTCTTACACAACCCTTTCCATTGTTTTAGTTCCTTTCATTGTTTATATCTGATTATGTTATGTTTTAATTAAAGTGTGAAGGTCTTCCGTTGTCAATTACAACGTGTTAATCCATTTTATTCTCAAGAATGCCCTCAGTATAATGAGAGTCACAAACCTGCTGGCTGTGGAGGTTGGTAGTCACCTTTATAATAGTTTTACTTTATTTGTTGATAATAATCCCATTCATGTTTGTAGTTGTTTAGAGATCCTCTGCTTTGGTAGTGAAGAGAGATTGCTATTTCTGTTGTTTAGATGCTTATTTACCTTCTGGCTTGTGTTTGTGTATTTTATTTTTGGATATTTATACTCATGATTATCTCATTTTGTGTACTGAGTATTGAGTACTAGTGTTGAGGAGTCCTGCATGAAGTGAAAAGGAATTCATTACCACGATCTGATACTGCACACAGTGGGACCACACTTTTATCAGGAAAAAAAAATTATCTGATGTCATTCTAACATAATTTTTCAACCTGAACAGGTCACTTGTATAGATGTATTGTAATATATAAGTAATGTATGTCGTGCTTTCTCATTAAAGTGGATTAACACTTTTGATGACTTAAGTGTTGGACTACATGTAGGTGTATTCTATGAAACAAATTGTCCTGAATATAGCTCGATTTTGATAGAATGTGTGCTTATTTTTCAGCTGTTCTTTGTGATTGGTGTGGCACTTGGAAGGGAGACAAGCTATGTAGTAGCTGCAGACAGACACGGTATTGCTCTGAGAAGCACCAGGTAATGGAATTAATTAAATGTATCTGTTTGTTTTCTTCCACAAATTTGATTCCCATGATAATTTTTTTTCTCATCCAACTCACAGGTTATGAGTTGGCGCGCAGGACATAAAATTGCTTGTCCTCAGATACAAATTTCTTCGCCTGTTTCTGGATCCAACAAAAGTGGAGCCACCTTGCTTGAGTCACATAAAGGTCAAGTGGTTTAAAGTTGTGTACTTTTGTTACAATATTTATTTGCTTTTGATAGCGAAATCATTAGTCACTTTTAGATGAAATTTAAAAATGCTGAAACTGATTAGAATATTGCTCATACATAAAACCACTTTGACAAGATATTTAGATTTGTATCTCTTATGAAACCTAAATCCATTCCGAAATAAAACATGTACATCACTATATAAATTTTTGACATCTACTATTTAGGTTCTTGTTAGTTTACACCTGAGATCATTCTTCACTATCATTCAGGTGGAAGCAAGAATCTGTGGCCTGAATTTGAGATCACAATTGAAGATGAAAGTGAATATAATAGAGACATGTCTGAGGAAAATAAGCTGTCTAATTCCTTGATCTCAAGGAACAGGACAGATGACACAATGAATTCGATTTTTGATAGCTTTCAGGTATAATTTTTATCATTTTAATAAGATTGTTTCTAGTTTATGTATATTATTCGCTAATTGTATTGATTATGAACAGGGTGACGCTGACAAAAAGAGTTGGGCCTCCTTCCAGGAATGCATCGACAAGGCCCCTGAACAAGTGCTAAGGTGATAAGATTCGCCAAATTAGAATGCTTAACTATGGTGAATTTCCTTGTGTGCCCTTGGAGGCAGATTAGTTACTAAACAGGATGGGTGAAAATGTTTGACAAATATAATATCTTGCCTTTTGAGATAAAAACTAAAGTAAGCAGGAAAGTCGTGGAAATATTTTCGTTGCTACTTGTCTCTGATTAGCCTAACATTTTTTATGATCCAGTCATTTGGAACAAAAGTATCTGAAGTGTTAACTATTAGCTTAACACTAGTTAAGTTATTTATTAAATTATAAGTATGGAGACAATTTAGAATTTAAATTATGAATCCAAATTTCTATCAGCCCTTATAAAAGTGCATTTCCTTATAATCATATTGTGTACTGGTGTGTTCAAAAGGATTAATTTGCATGATAACCAAATTGATGGCATTGGATTTATCAATATATTGGGTCTAATTACAGTTTTGGAAAATCAGGTATTATAGGAATACTAATGCTAAGCCAATATGGCCTCTTTCAAGTGGTCGGCCATCAAATGCTGATATCCCTAGATGTAGTTACTGCAGCGGACCTATGTGTTGTGAATTTCAGGTACTTATTTTAGATATCAGTGGTTGAAGCTGAATGTTGTTCTACATGTAAAACTTTTGTTTTTTTGCTTGCTCAACCAAATGTTTTGTATATTTCTTTGGATACTGAGTTGTTAATGTGGGTGGTGCCAGATTTTGCCACAGCTGCTTTATTACTTCGGTGTTGACAATGAAGTGGACTCTCTGGATTGGGCTTCAATTGTGGTGTACGCATGTGAAGCCTCTTGCAATGCAAGTTTGCCTTACAAACATGAATTTGCCTGGGTTCAAATTCATTCACCTTCCACAGCCTTGTAGGGAAATAACAGGGAAGTGTCTTTTTCTAATTATTTTTTAAAATTTTGGGTTCAGAAGTTTGAAGTAGGGCTTACCTACTTCAACCATCGATTTTGAGGATTGAGTGTTGATTTTGTAATTTACTCACATAGGCTTTTTGCATCCTTGCTACAATATATTTATTATAAATTTTGTGACAAAGATCACACTTACGAGAAAGAGGAGGTAGTGAGTAGTTTACTGAGATGGAGTAGTAGTCAAGGGTGAAAAGTTATTTCATCATTTGGTTTGTAAATATAAAGATGAAACCTAATTGGTGATGAAGAATTATGATTAATTACGTTACATTATTTAATCTATCCCCATATTTAAAAAATTCTTCATATGGGTTTCTAAATATTAATATGATATGTAAACTTTTAATTGGTAGATATTCAAATAAGAATCTATTTATATAATTTTATCAATAATTTATAACATTATATAATGAAGATATATACATAATTTATTTTTTTACTCTAACCTTGAATATGTATCTATTCATTTATCTTATGACATTTAGAAAATGGATTTTATATTAAATTTTACCATGTATATGTCAAACAAAAATGGTTTAATTCTATTAAATCAATACCTACATTTAGTTTTCATCTCATTTTTTTATAAAGTAACTTCTTTATATTAACCACAAAAGTGAGTGAATTTTCTCCATCTTACCACACTTTCTGCTTAATTTATCCTCATATACGGTAAGGAAATATAATAAATAAAATATAACGATATTTAAAGTATAGACAATATAGAAATTAAGATTCGATAACAATATATGTCATTTCTTTCCCAACGATAAAATAGAAGAGTATTTGTTCCGTTTTATCGTGTACTGTTGTCTTTCAATCCATTATTTATTATTATTTAAAACATAGTAAAAGATTTATATGAAAATAAAAAAAAATTATTAAGTTCTTGTAATTTATTATATTTAGAAGATGCATACAAATTATTACAGTGGAAGTTATTTTTTCATAAAGTGAACTATATACACAAATTTCTAGTAACTTTTTAAATTTTATTATAGATTATTTAGATTTAAGTAGACAAATCACGCGAGTTGCTTAAAAATTTATGTAACTTATTAAAGTGATAAACAAAAGCTTTTACGACGACAATATGAATTATTTCTTGAAAAAATAACTTTCTTTGTACGTTGTATCTTGTAACAGGACATGTAAAATGGTGAAAAACGTAATTTGAATTGAAAAAAAAAATACAAGATTATCTTGAATTTTGTAAAAAAAATAAAATATTAATCTATTTTTTCAGAAAGTTAGTGCCAGAGCGATAAGTTAAATTTGAAGGCGAAAGCAGATATTTTGTTTTCCGATAGTCATCGCTACCCCGAAAGCATGGAGCTCAAACTCCACACATCAATGGCTACTGTGGGATCCATTTCAAGCGCAGCAAACTCTGTCGTGTTCACCCATTCCTCTACCTCCATTCCTATCTGCACCTACGCAGTTCCTGATTCCAGCAGGCGCCGAAACGGCAACAATACTAGCCGTTCCACTTACAAAACCTCTCCTTTGGGTAAGGGGAACCATCCCATAGAACCCAAATTGAAGCTTGATCATCAAAACCAAAACGCCTCGTTACCCTTGAATGTGGACTTGGTGGCCCTGTGTGAAGAGGGTAAGCACGATCGAGTAATGGAACTCATGGGTCAAGGTGCTACTGCTGATTACCGCGTTTATCTTGCGCTCTTGAATTTGTGTGAGCATACAAGGTCGCTTGAATTGGGGAAAAGGGTCCATGAATTCCTGAGAATATCGACCTTTCGTGGGGACGTTGAACTGAGCAACAGGTTGATCGGAATGTACAGCAAATGTGGCAGTGTGAAGGATGCACGCCGAGTGTTTGATCAAATGCAAGAGAGAAATACCGCTTCGTGGCATTTGATGATTGGTGGGTACACGGCTAATGGTTTAGCGTGTGATGGTTTACTGGCTTTTCAGAAGATGAAGCACGCGGGGGTGCCATTGGATGGGCAAACTTTTGAATTGGTTTTGGCTGCATGCGCACAGGCAGAAGCTGTGGAAGAAGGGCTTTTACACTTGGAGTCAATGAAGGAGAATGGAATAGTTCCAAGAGTGGAGCATTACTTGGAGGTTATAAACATTATGGGGAATGCTGGTCGATTGAATGAAGCTGAGGAGTTCATTGAGAAGATACCAATTGAGGTTGGAGCTGAGGGTTGGGAGTCTCTTCGAAATTTTGCTCGAATACATGGAAATTTAGATCTTGAAGATCGTGCAGAGGAGTTGTTAAAGTATCTTGATCCTTCAAAAACTATTGTTGATAAACTTCCTATGCCTCCAAGAAAGAAGCAGCATGATATTAACATGCTAGAGGAGAAGAATAGGGTGACTGAGTATCGGTATTCTATTCCGTATAAAGAAGAGGCTCATGAGAAATTAGGAGGTTTGAGTGGCCAGATGAGGGAAGCCGGTTATGTGCCGGATACAAGATATGTCCTCCATGACATTGATGAGGAGGAAAAAGAGAAGGCCTTGCAATATCATAGCGAACGTTTGGCAATTGCTTATGGTCTCATCAGTACACCCCCAAGGACAACACTTAGAATCATCAAGAACCTACGTATCTGTGGGGACTGCCACAATGCAATCAAAATTATGTCCAAGATTGTTGGAAGGGAGCTAATTGTTCGGGATAACAAGCGATTCCATCATTTTAAAGACGGAAAATGCTCCTGTGGAGATTATTGGTAGCGTTGGTAAAAGTGCTTAACTGTACATACTATTGATGTTGTACTGCTAGATTGTTTCTTATTTGCAGACAAATATGTAAGGATCAATCAAAGAAGTTTTTGTTCCATCAATGAATTGACCTGCGTTGTGTCTCTCTCCTTGTGGTACGAGATTGTTAGTAAAGGTAACTGCATATTTGATTCCATGTCTACACAGACATGACGCGGAAGCCTTTACACTGTTGCTTCTGAAAAAAAGAAAGAAATATATATATATATATATATATATATATATTGATTTTATTGCTAGAGGCGAGCATTGGATGTGTATCCAAACACACACCAAGTGGCTGACAGCGAGCTCAATTTCCGTGTAACAATCAATCGGTGGTATACTGAATATTTCTTTATGTTGGCTCCTGGAATATGCTATTAAATGTACTTCTAGTGATCTAAAATTTAGATAGCATGTAAATCCTATAGATGGAATATGGAGAGTGTTCCATGTCGCCCTTATAATTTAAGTAGAACTCTCTCAAGATTAGTTTTCCTTCCCACAGTATATTGTGATGTTAAATCCTGAAGTATATGACGTATTTAGTTGAGAACAATTGACCACGGAAACTGGAAGGTAATAGAATTCTGGAGACTGCTTAGAATAAACCAAATGCAGTGAGGAGGTATTACATATCAACAGCATTTCTAAGGCCTTGTTCACTTGAATAGATTTGGAAGAGAGTAATTGAGGGAATTTGAGAGGATTCGAAGATAAATTTTTTTTTTGTTTATTTGAGTGAATTTGGAGGTAAATGAGAGTGAATCTGGAAGTAAATTTTGTAATCTGTCACGTCAATCAAATCCTACACTAATTCTCACAAACTTTACTTCCAAATTCATTCTCACTTACCTCCAAATTCACTCAAATAAACAACAACAAAATTTATCTTCAAATCCTCTCAAATCTCCTTAATTACTCTCTCCCAAATCGATTCAAGTGAACAAGACCTAAATGATTCTTTATTTCCTCATTCAAACGGCTGAATTTATCATTTATTTAATAGGCACATGGTTTTCCTATCTAAACAGCATACAAGGTATTTCCTCAACTGAAGAAATGAACGAAACCCAGTCAAGGGATCACTCCTTGTCAAGATGAACACAAGTATATGTGGTATCCTATTTGAAGATCGAGTATAAGCCACATCTCGCTGTACAACTGGAAAGAATGCAGGCTACAATATGAATGAAACCCAGACAAGGGATCATTCCTTGGTAAGGTGAACAGTACAAGTTCTATCCTATTTGAAGATGGAATATAAGCTCCATCTCGCTGTACAACTTGAAAGAATGCAATGTGCAGTAGCAATTATGTATGAATGGTAGTCAAATTGAATGAGACCAAGAAGCCAATTTGAAGCTTATTGGAAGTTAGCATGCTAAAATGGGAAGGGGGCCCATTTTATACCAAAAATAATTGCGACGATGCTCGGCTGATTCTTTTGTTGGTTACCATTTCAATTTTCAACTGCAGTTTTTTCCCTTGATGGAACTCTCAGGTATAGTTTCATTGTATCATAAACTGTAAAGCCTATGGCCGAAGATGGAACTACCTGAATCACAAAATTCAACAATTAGCCATACAGAACGATTTGAGTGTCTGTCTGTTACTTTTAATAAGCTATTAGTTGTATCACCTTTATATAATTGATGCTCAGCCCTGAAAATAGTTGCTTCCAGCCTTGCCTTTGGGCAATCAAAAGAATAGATTTCAAAGTCCCCTTCAATTCGGCATTGTCAGACGGTTGGAGCTTTTGAATCTGGCCATATGTTTGTCAAATAAATACACTGTTATTTAATATCTACCAATCAGTCCCTGGGTGATCGGGAGACGAATATTACCTGCATTTGCCTCCTGACAACTTCAAGAGGATATGTGAAGGTCTGACCCAATAACCCTGCTACTGATCCGCACGTCAGTTTGGCCATGATGCTTTTATTGTACTCCTCAGGGACATGGCGCTTCATTTCCTCATAGAAGTAGAATTTCAAACCCGCATACGGGAATATTCCAACAAGAGTTGGAGCTGTTGCCATGAACAAAATTAGGAGGTTTACATTACAAATGCAACAGTGATATACGATACAAAAATACGATAAATGGAAATAAGCTGATTCAAATTCGTACCTACTCCACGATAGAGACCCCTGATGCCACCCTCTCTATAAGTTCTTGTAAGACAATCAGTGATCCCTCTGTAAACTTGTTCGTTATTAACCATCCCCGAAGCACCCAACTTTGTTGGACTAACAATCTGCAGTTTCAAATACAAACAAATTAAAGCTTAAAAGTTTTTCTTCCAAAAAAATAGATTAGAATTAATTTCTGAAAAGATACTTTACCTGATAAGCTAACTTGGTTCGAGTCAAATCAAGAGGATAAGTAAAAAGTACAGCTGTCCCTCCAGAGAGTGAGCCTGCCACAAGGTCAAGGGTAGGACCTTTCCACACATCAGGAAAAGTTTGTATAATCAATCTGCGGTATTCCTCGTAAGACGTATAATGAATAGCCGCGTAAGGAATAATCCTTGCAACACTTGCTCCATTTCCTCTGCAAATAAATTCACAAGATACTAATAAAGATACAGCCCCTGAGATTGTGAGAGAGCAGTTATGATCACGATCACATTGGTTTGAAAGACCTACCTGTAGAAACCCAGAAGGCCTTCCGTTTTGGCAATTCTGACAGCTGATCCTATCAGTCCCGTGCTCTGAAACTCAGCCCTTCGCGTCTGCAATAAACAAAACCCACATTAGAAATCAAGAAACGTGAAAACCTCTTAGAGGACGAGATAATTGAAAAAGACAGAAACACGTTTGACTAGAAATAGGTGACGTTCGAAACACGCCAATTAAATAAGCCGTTGAACAGTTTTAAAGCAAAGAACACTGAAACTGATTTGAGTGACCTGAAAGAGAATCTTGACACGCTCGAGAGGAGCGACGACGGTCTTGGCGAAGCCGCCGGCGAGGCCACCGGCGACCAACTCCTTGGCGAAAAGTGGCATGAGATCGAGCGGACCCTTGGTCCCGTCTTCTGGGTCATGCCTCTTCTGCTCCGCCATTTGTCAGAAAAATTGCGATAGAGAAAGGAAAGAGAGTGACAGAGAGAAACAGTAACAGGAAAAAAAAAAGAAAAAAAAAACGATTGAATTGAATTCAGTTTGAGAATTGGTAAACTGTTGAATTGCGTAGTTGAGTTAAATAGGAAGACGAAAATGGTGACAGACCCAGCCTCCAAGTAGGACCAATTTCATTCTCATTTCTTATTTTTTCTTTTTTTAACGATTTAAATTAAATTTATTCCCTTTTATATATATATGTGCAATTTAAATTTTCTTACTTTGTAATATTTCAAATCAAATTTTTAATTTGTCTTTATTTTTTTAAATACTTAATTAAGTTATAACGTCTCTTTACATATTTTTAATTAAGTTGTTACTAAATTATCTTAATATATTGAGTATGTTTTGTTAACTCCCCCTAATTTATACGTTATTTTTAATTTCATAATTTTTATTATTTGTATTTACGTCATAATAGATTCGAAGTTATGTAATTAATATAAAAATAATATAAGATAATTAATGTAAAATATTAAATTATTTTTATTTTTCTAGTTGAAAATGTGTATTTTTATTACTTTTATGGCATTATCTATGATGATTAAAAACTGTGTCGTTATTGATAAGTACGTCTTTATTATCCAATCTGATTCTAGAAAATAATTGAAGTTATTTTTTAATTAACATAATATCATTTTATATTAATCATAAATCTTTTAATATGGGTCGATAACATATTTCTTAAAGATAATTAATAAGGTGACGTAAAAAATTTTAAGCACTCGAAACTTAAACTAAAAAAGTACAACAACTTTTAGTATTCAATAAACAAAAAATAATAATGAAAACTTAACTAAAATTACTCACATTTATGAAAACTTTAAAATTAAATTATATATTTTAAAATATTAACTTTACTTTTTTACAGTTAAATATATTAATACATTAAAACCTAAATATATAAGTGAAAAGGGAACAAGAGGTAGCTCAAATAATAGAGTGGAATTAATTGTAGTGACGACAGATAAATTATGGTCAAATTTTTTATTTTAAGTCTTTAGATATTTATTTATTATTTCGCATATTTTATCACTTAATTAATTACATTTTCTTATGATAAAAGAAATTTGTGACAGTTTAACTTCATAAAAGTTTACGATTTCTTTCAAACTTATACTTTATAAAGCAAGTTTAGGAATAATAATCTTTTTTTTATATAATTTAGTGAAGTCAGATATTATCTATAGTATTTTAAAAACACATGAGATTTTTAGGATAGTTAAGTAAAAAGTAAATTTAATTATCACCAATGACTTCTTTTAGAAAAATATTTAATTTTATGAAGTTAATGATTAAAAATTGTTTCAAACAATTAAGTTATAGCAAAATAAATAAAATTATATTTAAATATTACTACATAATTCATATATATTATGTAAATAAAATATTAAGAAATAAAATTTATAAATAATTTTGTTTCATTATTTCTTGTACGTAAATTATGATAAATATTAAAAAATAATTTAATCAAATAATACGTTTGTTTGAGGAGTATTTGTTTTATTTTTTGTCATAAATATTAAATTATAAATATATTGATATGATTTTAATATTTATTTAAGGTTAAATATGTTTTTAGTCCCTAAATTATCAAGCGATTTTGTTTTTAGTCCTTCTTTCAAACTTTGGTACATTTTGATCATTCTTCTTAAGTAAACTATAATTTTTCGTCCTCCAAAACCAACAGCTTTAAAAACTAGCTGAGGTGGCTAACGGTAATGTGTCATGTCATTTTTTTTTTCTGAGTCAACCTTTCTCAGCTTTTCTCCCTCCCTCTCCCTCCGTCACCTTCCTTCGTCCCTCTACCACCAAACCTCAACTCTCCTCCTCCCACCAAAAAGATACTGCTACGCCGGCATCTCATAAGAAACATAGTCCTTAACCCACGGACCTGCGGACTCTGAACTCAAGGTTCTGCAATCTATTCGAAAGAAGTCTCAAACACCATTGAACAGTCCAAACTAAAATTTGTCACTACCCTCTCTCTTCGCGAATTATATACACTGCAATGACATACAGGCATAGTTTCTTGTATGAAAGGTGCTCCCAGAATAATACAAACTTTTAACAAACTATTTAAAATTAGAAATGTTGGAAGACCCTCCACTCCCAACACCAACGCTTCTATTCGCACACCTTCCAATTCAAATTCCAATTCTCAAGGTAAAACCAGAACCAGAGCCTCATTACTCTAACCCAAACCTGTTTGTCAAAATGTCTCACCGAATCTTCGCCTTGTTTCATAGGGAACTCCACGGAGGTAGAAGAGTCAGAAGAAGGAGAAGAAGATGAAGATGCTTCCACCACAAGCCTAAACGTGTCGACCGAATTCCTCCAAGAAGTGCAGGCCCCCTCCAATCTGATTGCCCTATTAATCAAGATCGTCTCTAAATCAAAATCATCCTTGATAAGTATAATTGTAGGCACCCACTGCTACAATATGATGTTTAAAAGTAAAATTTAACAACCGGGCACTTTCCAAATTTAAAAGTCTCAACCCATAGATTTTAGTAGAAAATTGAATAAAGTTAAATGGCAGGATTAGTCCATTTCACATGTCATGAAGTTGCCAAGTTATATTTATCTAGTACATCCAGTGTATTCGTACTCATTTTCTCATATTTGTACAAATATTTTTATTGCATGTTTGTTGTAGTAATATTGCTAGCACTTTACTCAGGATTACTGTATGGTCTATATGTTCCAGTTTGGGAGTTTGATATATCAGCCTCGACCTCTTCGTTACCTCCTATTAGTGGTGGTGATATTTACACGGTGAGAGTAGACTTAGCACCCTTCATTTCTCACTTTCATATCTTCTATTTGCTTCATTTTTATGTTTTGAATTTGATTTCATGAACTCTTATCAAATTTTATTGGTTAGATAATTGTCTTGTGCTTATTAATTCTCAAAAATCTCACCTGCTTATTCTTGTTTAAAATTCTTATTGTATGAGAGTATACTAGTGGTGGAATTCAAAATATGTAGTTATGCTTACAATGTTCTCAACCCAATATCAGGTCAATTGTTCAGTAGACGAAAAATTATAATTTCCTTAAACAGAAGGATCAAAGTGTAACAAAGTTTGAAAGAGAGATGAAAAATAAAATCCGTTTGATAGTTAAGGAACAAAAACATATTTAACCCATTTATTTATTTAATTTAACATCACAAAATTTTCCATATACATTATATATTGGGTTACAATTCTTATTATATTTAAATATGTTTAGTCTTTAATGTAAAATTAAAATTCATCTCTTTGAAACCTTCATATATTAATTTAAAATACGAGTATGACATAGAAAAAAATTAATATAATTGAATTAAGAAAATCACATTTATTTATTTTTAGCATCAAATTATATTAAAATTTTGAATTAATAAATTAATATTTAAGAACTAAACACATACTTAACTCTATATTTAAATATATTAAAAACATTAATAATTAAATAAAAACATTAATAAATGTATATAAGACATTGATCAAAACATAAAAAAAATATTATAAACATAGTTTCATCCTGATTTTTGACACATTCTTGCCTTCATTCTTCATAAGTAGATACATTTATTACCTTTTTAACTAATTATTAGTATGAACCATAATTAAAGTATGAGATTATTGTTGGTAGTTTAAAAGGATAATTTGGGTATTTACCTTTACTCAGTCATTGTAAAACAGGTTGGGTGGCGGTTAAAAATTGACCCAAGTCACATAGACGCGTCGGTGGTGGTTAACCGTAGGTTTAATGTAATGTTGGCTAAAGGAAGAGAGAGAGAGATAGGAGAGAGAAACAACCGAACAACCGCTTTGTGTCTTTGCGCTCTATCTCTCTTTCTATATATATTTTATGCATAACATACCCATTTTGACATAGCTCAACAACAACTCAGAAAAAGAAGAAATTTGATAGAAGAAGACAGGGCAGAGCTGCAGCCAAGAAAACCCATGGCTGAATCCGTTTCAGTAGACATGGAGTTGATCCTTCTAGCCAGAAAGGTTTCTTCTTTTCTGCCTTTCTCTCTCCAGTTCTAAGCTTTTTCCTAATGGGTTCATTTCTCTTCATTAACCTCTTCCAATTTCTCTCTTCACCTCATTCTTTCTGCTGAAAATTTTTTCTTGAAGAACCCTTGACACTTTCGCGTAATTGGGAACTTTTTAGTTGAGCAATTCGTCATGGGGGTGGTTTTGTTTTCCTTCTATTGTTTCATTTCATTATGTTCTTCCTTTGAAATGTTTGTGTTTTGCATCGCCAATCCATTGGGATTAGGGAGATTTTAACATGTCAGGCGGCTGATCTTCACATTCCATATGTCATATATATGCGACATAGTTCTTTGAATTGTGACTATCCTTCATCACATGGAGATATTTCGCATTTGAACTCCTGGATCACCATTTGAATTTCCGTTTTTTCTTTATTTATTTAAGCTGTTATCGGGCTTCTTATATGGATTTAGCGATTTTTGGAAGAAATGGATTTTACCTTTGCATTTGCAGCATTGGATGCGGTTTAGATGATATGGGAAATTTCATTGTTATTTTCTTATAGACACTTTGTTGTTTTCCTTTTCATTTTATTCTTCTTTTTGTTTTTTAGGTGGGGTCAAGGGTTCTTCTTTTCTTTTTCTGCCTCCTGTATTTTATATGATGATGTTCATCGCTTTGAAGGAATTGGATCCTTTGTGGTTTGGCTTTTCTGTCTCATCGGTTCTTTCAAAGTGCATTACAGTCTATAAGAATCATCGCTCTGCCTTTCTTAGCCTTTTGATCATTATTGTACTTGGGCTAATTCTATCTGTTACTTTGTGCTTTATATACGTATCGGTTATTTATTGGATTAGGTAAAGTCGTTTTTTATATGACATTTTAAGACACTATCCTCATTTCACTGGCTTTACCTTGTTTTGTTTATTGAAGATACAATGATTGGAATCTGACACTACTTATGCCATTTATCATTTTTTTTCAAACTCGAGTTAATATGCTATTGGCCTATTGCTTGTTAGTTTGGGTCATCCAAAAAGACGAGTAGGGGCACATGGGT